TCCTCTTCCATTTTCTCCTTTCTTCACATAGTGAAATGTTTTCCACATTCAAGGCCCAGCTACCCCAAACTTACGAGTGTTCTCTTCTCTGTTTCCACAGTCCTTTATACATACTTCTATGACACTGTCATTGCTTTACAAGTCATCTTCTCCAGCAGATTCAGAGCTTCTTAGAGTTAGGGACCCTATCTTACTCATTGCATTTCCCCAACCCTAGTACTCTGGTTTTTACTGATTTAAAAGAAGTCCATTGAGTAATACGCGGCAGGCACAATTTTAAGGTACTAGAGGCTAAAATAAATAAGATTCTGGAGTCCATTGGAGCTCATTATCTACAATAAACATGTAACAACAAAAAAGATTATTTTAAATGATAAATATTATAGAGAAAGTCATATAAGGTAAAGGCAGTGAGTATAAGACACATCCAGGGTGGTAAAGTGAGGCTTCTCTGAGGTTGTGATGTTGACCTGAGATGACCAGAGGAATGATCTAGAGAGACAGCATTCTAGGTAGAGGAGATGGCACATGGATAAGTGTTAAGACAGAAATGAGCAGTGAGGTGGCGCACACCTGTAATCCCAGTGGCTCAGGAGGCTGAGGTAGGAGGATCGCCAGTTCAAAACCAGCCTCAGCAACAGCGAGGTTCTAAGCAACTAGTGAGACCCTGTCTCTAAATAAAATATAAAATAAGGCTAGGGATGTGGCTCAGTGGGCGAGTGCACCTGAGTTCAATCCCTGTTTCCAAAAAAAGAGAGAGACAGAAATGATAGCATGCTGCAGAGCTGAAAGAATACCAGTATGGCTAGAGAAGAATGAGTGAGGAGAAAAATTGTGAAAGTAGGCCAAGTTCAGATCACAAAGAACCTTAAAAGACCAGGCAAGAAGTATTTTAATTCTAAGTTTAACAGGAAGTCATTGGAAGGTTTTAAGCCTTTCTTATATTTTTAAAGAAGTCACTCTTCTGACTGTCTAGAGAACAAATTTCAAAGTTTGGGAAAACAAGTCATTCACGTGGATGCTTGATTCACATTTAGTATTGGTTATTATATATATTTATTATTAAATGAATATTTATTAATCATATGTTTATCCACCATTCTGAATTTATCTTTGCTGCTATAACAATCAAGATAAATGAGCTATTTGCTGTAAAGGCTCTTTTTATCTGTGCCAGATGTGTAAATATCAAGCTTTCAGGAGATAAAAATATACTAAAAAGCCCCACCTTTTAGGGTGTGCCCCAATTTAGGCCAGGGAACAGAATCAACTACATGCCCCAGATCTTGACTTCAGTACCACTGCTAAGTTGAAACATGAAAAATGCTGGCACTAGAAATGGTGGTATGGAGTGTTTGCAAAATAGATTATTTCCTGAGGATGTCATTGTTTCCAGTTTCCAGTAGTAGCCCCCAGAACCTAGGCAAAAGCACACCCATTGCTATAAGTTAGTGATACTTTTTTTAAAGATGTTGATGGACCTTTATTTTATTCATTATTTATATGTAGTGCTGAGAATCGAACCCAGTGCCTCACACATGCTAGGCAAGTGCTCTATCACTGAGCCACAATTCTAGCCCAGTGATATCAGGGCTTATGCACATACTGTTCCTTCTGCCTGGAAGACCCTCCCCATCTGCTCTTAGCTTTTTTAGTTATTCTTGTGATGCTGGAGATCCAGCCCAGGCTTCATGCATACTAGGCAAATGCTCTACCACTGAGCCACATCCCCAGCTTCCCTGATGGTAACTCAGCTTAAAAAGTTAATATCTCTGACAGGCCTTCCTAAATCAATCCCAAACCTAAATTAAGTTTCTTTTCATAGAACCCTGTACTTTTCTTTCAATGTTTCTATTATTTGTAACTTTGAATTTGTTTGTGGGGTCATTCTTTTAATGGCTCTTCGTACTTGCAAATCCTTGCAACCATCAGATTGTAAATTCCAGGGATCCAATAAATGTGTTCATCACTTCTTCCAGAGTACCTGGTGCAAAATACCTTTAAAGAATAGTTACCAAGTGAAAATATGTCTCCTTGTACCAGAGAGGTGAAGGACTCCCTTAGCTGTGTCATTTTATAAAGTTTTATAAAGTACTCCTCCCCTGCACTTGCATTACCTTCAACAAGAAAGTGGAGTTCAGAGAGATGATGGAGCAATTCTTTGCAGATTCATGTTCTTAATCTTCTAGAGTTTCTTAATCTCATCACTATTAATCTTTTGGTCTGGGTAGTTATTTGAATGTGGAGGGATGTCCTGTTCATTATAGCATGTTTAGCTGCATCCTGGGCCTTTATCCACCAGATTCCAGTACTCTCAATGTCTTCAAATATTGCCCCATGCCTGAAAAAATCACTCCTGGTTGAGAACCATTATTTTAAAATGGGAAACTTCAGGCCTTTTTCTTTTTTTAGAAGAATTACATTCGGAAATTCCAGTTGTTGATTGATGCCTGGGTTACAAGAGAATTCTGTCAACCTAGTTAGATCAAAATCATGCCCATTTCTATCTATTTCCATAGCACTCCCTGTGTTTCCTTTGAAAGGGCCATTAGTGATGGTCTAATTCAGGGCAATATTCTGATCTTGGAAATTCAGCTCCCTGGACTGTCCTAGAAGGATGAAGGAAAGGGGTGGTGTTTCTGAGGAAACCAATGCTTCTGAGACCCCCTCGGGAATTGGCAGTCCCCTACAACTTTTCTAGGGGCATGTCCCAGAGGACAATAAAAGGGAGACAAACAGCCTATTCTGGCATGCTTTTCAGGATCTCTCACTCCAAACAAGAAAGTCTGAGAGGCCTGGTAAAAATAAATATGGCTTAGTCCTCCTGGCACAAGAGCAGTTTCTGACAGCCAAGACTTAACTCACTCTAGGGGGTGACCCCAGCAGGGACTTTGCACAAAGTTAGCTTCTACCCATTGATATTCCCAGTGACTCACAGCAGCCAAAGATGGCATGATGCACCAGAACTGTCCTGGTCCATGCAGAAGAACTAGGGATGCACACAGAAAACACAGTCCCTCTTGCCTGAGTTAGACAGGGACAGGCAGCCTCCTCCTTCCCCTCCAATTTCAGAAAAATAACACAAATCATGCCTCTGGAAAGGAACCTGTCCTTTGCATACAGAGTGGAAACTGTTTATAAATTCTTAATCCCCTGACATTGAAAGTATGGGGCCTTGTGTCCAAATATTTTTGGGGACAAATATATTCAGTATAGCACATGCCAGTGGTTTTCATTTGGAACAAAATATGGTGTCCAGAATCACAAGGTCTTTCTCAACAGGTTTAAAAGGCAAGTCTTTATTTGCAGTATATATTAAAACCCTAAGATCAACCACGAACTGCGTTAGAAAGGAAGAGAAGGCTAAGGAATTAGCCTCTATTTTCACTTTTTTCTCCTTGGATTTTAGGCTAAGGTGACCCATGTAGAATAGACAGGTCTGCTGTTTTTCCCAAGCACTTAGATCATACAGACCTGGCCTGACTCTACTGCCGCCTTCAGTCAGCAAGAAGAACTACAAACCCAGAAAATGCCACTGTATTAGTTACCATGGTAATGCTAGTTCAATCACATTGCATCTGGATAAAAATTTCAGGCAAAACAGTATAGAAAGGTACTGACTAAGAAAGAGTTAACATCACTTTTGTTGTTGTAACTGTCACAAAGCATGGTTAATGTTAGCTTTGGTCAAAGATGGTAATTTGGAGTGAAAGCCTTGAAAATTTGAAAATAAGCAAGGATGAAATGTCAACCCATCCATTTTGAAAAATATCCTAATATCCATTTTGCATTATACCAAATTATTTTCGGCTCACTTGGGGTATCTAGGTCTTTTTTGGCACTATGGTGGTAGGAAAGAGATTTAATGAAATCCACAGATGAGCCAAAGCCAGGAAACACTGGCATATCAGCTTGGAGGGAAAAGTGATACCTTGGCCTTAAGAAAGTTGGGGACTTGGGCAAAGATAACGAAATGAGATCCAACCTAGAAAAATCGAAGGGGCAAAATTAATCCATACTGTTAATATTCATTAGGGAGGGGGCTAGGTCACAAAACCGAGAGGAGTTTACAATTTATGTAGCAACCTGAATGTTAAAGATTGCTGGAAGTTCCTTCTGCAGTCCGAGGCTGGGAGAATGCTGAGGTCTTGGGGGAGTGCAATTCTAAGTAAGGACTCATTTCCTTACTCCCTCCCTCCCTTGCCAAGATCAGAAAGTCAAAGAAGGTGAAAAGGCTAACGACATTGATTTACAAAGACAGCGAGGAGGAACTAAGTCTGTCTGAGCCAAATCTGGACGTCTGAGCTGGCGCGACAGGACCCAGACAACTACCTCAGGAAATGAGTAAATGAAAAGGGGAGGTCGCGGAATTATTTAGCCCTAGAACACTGCCTAGACCAGAGGACAGGCGGGGATGCAAGTAGAAAATCTCAGAAAAGGAATTTTGACAGTGAGAATGCTAGTTAAGATAGAGCCCGACAGGCCCCCTGATGGCCCTTGTTTGATGTCAATAAAGACCTAGAGGATTACGCATTAGCAAGCCTTCCGTATTCTGGGACATCAATAAAGTCTGGACTTGGGGCCGGTAGGGTGCTGGGGTCACGTCCAGGCGACTTGGGTCAGCCCGGGTGCTCCTCCCTGGCGTGGAGCTAGGGTGAACGGAGTCTGAGAATTGTGTCTAGGATAATAATAATTATTTTTTTAAAATTGGGGACATTTGAGCAGTAGTAATGGGGACAGAGAAAGAGAGTCTTTCGATGGCTAGGAATGTGGGGGTGGCTTGAGGAGGAGAGGGGCCCGAGCCAGAGGTGCCCCCGGGTGGGGTCTGAGGACTGGGGGGCGGGAGCCGAGGGCTGGAAGGGGCCGGGCCAGCGTTGGAGGCGGGACCAGGCGCGGTGGCGGTGGCGGGGGCTGCGGCGCGGGGGGCGGGGCGGCAGGGCCCGGGACACCCCCTCCCGGTCCCCTGGCGGGGCGGCTTCGGCTCTAGCAGCACTGGAGGCAGCAGCGGCCGGAGGGCCACTTGCGGGGCGCGCGGACCGTGGCGGACCCGGGACGCTTCCCTCCCGGGACCCTCCGCTGACTCCCTCCGCCGCGCCGTCCCGCGGGAGTCGGCGGGACCCCCGGCCGGCAGGGAGCGCCGGCGGCGGCCGCGGCACCATGAGGCGGCTGTGGGGCGCACTGCTGGTTGGCGCCCTGCTCTGTGCACACGGTAAGCTGTGTCGCCGCGCCCGCTCTGACCGGCCCATCGGGAAAGTTTGTCCCTGGGTCGGGCAGCTGCAGGACTCACCTCCCGGGAGCCCAAGGGCGCAGGCTGGGGCCTGAAACCCCTCGCGCTCACTCCAAGAAGTGGCCCTGAAATTGCATGCTGGGGATGGAACCAGGAGCTCCCCCAGCTCCTCAAGTGCGAGAGCGGACAGTGGTGGAGGAGCTCCCCCGGGCTCCAGTCTGGGCCGGGTGGGATAAGACCGGAGGCGCTCGCTTGCCTTCTTAGCTGCTCTTTAAAGAGCTGGGGGGCTGCTTCCCTTTCAGGTTAAGACAGGGTCTCTGTGTCCTTGGTGCGAATGAATGTGTGCAAAGAAAGGGAGGCGGGGAGGGCGGTCGCTAAACCCATAAATTGTAAATAGCTCTCCTCCCAGGGGCTGAGGGTCTCGTGTGGGTTGCGGAGAGGGGCCTCGGTGGAATCTAAGTACTTGAGCACCGGGAATTCCTCTACTCGGGAACAAATCCCCCAGACCCGGCTCTCACCGAGGGTCTTCGGGCATTGCTTGCTTGCAGCATCTCCCCTTAGTGGTGTTTTGGGTTCCCTCTCCTGGCTGCGGCCAATCAGCTTCCTGCCCCGGATCCTCCCCAGGGGAGGGGTGGGGGGAGAGGATTGGAAAAGGGGCTGAGGAGGAACTTTGGGAAGGAACTGCTGGAAGACTCCCGCAGAATCCGTCCTGGCTGGGGCAGGGGGCAGGAGGCAGGGAGCGGGTGTTGCTGAACCTCAGAAGGCAGCAGCCTCTCGGCCCGCGCGGTGGGGCCTCGGCCTCAGGGGAGCTGGGCGGATGGGATCAGGACTGCTGCTTATCTGCTCCTTATTAATAACGTGTTCGGTGCCCGTTCGCAACTGTTGGAGTGTGATTAGGACTCCAGTGGAATCTGCTTCTTCGCCGCCGCTTACGACCATGGTGCACCCCGTGATAGAGCAGCTGCCTCTAAGTTTGTGCCCAAAGATCAAAGAACTTTGATCTCTGAGCCCCCAGCTCATTCACCCACCGCTCTTCAGTGCGGGGGAGATCCGAATCTTCTAGTTCTCCTAGCTGCCCGGATGAGGGGGTGGGGTTCAGAACCCAGGGGTCTGCAGACTGTGGCCTTGCACCGCTTCTTTCTTTAAGGTAGAGGAGCCCGTGTGCAAACTGTGCAGATTTCGGAACTTGCCTGGCAGGGCGTGGAGATGTCTGGGCACTTGCTTTAAAGATTGTTTTATGTCCGGAATCCAAAACGGAGTTCTCGTGCCTATTATTTAAACTATCCGTGAGTTTTCAGTGGCTTTTTCCAATCCTCTCTAGCGCCGATTGAGCCCTTTCTGAGAAGTGGTAGCCTGGCCGACCCACGTTCCTCTTAGCTCTGCGCTCTCCCCCTCCCGGGCTCTCTCCTAGAAGGTTATTTGTAGCCTCTTCGGCGTGTCGGGACAGCAGCCCTACTGGGGTAGGAATGTAGCTGTTCTTCCCACCACATGGGCCCCTTAAAGGGACAGCTATACTTTTTGGGGGGTTTCCCCCTTCGGGCTGCAAGGAAAGGGGATGGAACTTTCCTCCCGGCCCCCTGGAGGAAGTTTTGAAAAAGATCAAGGGAAATGGTTAGGCACTAGGACAAAAAAAAAAAAGGCGGGGGGGGGGGCGGTGTGCGGTAAAACGGATACCAACAAAGCCAGAGAGGAGATTGTCGCCTTCTGCCCAAGGGAATGGGGAGCTGGAAGGTTCCCTGGCTGAGACGGGCCAAGAGAATTTTACTGCTCCAGAGCTGTCAAAATTGCACACACTGCATCCAAATAGAGGATAGGGGTAGAGAAAAAATGTATATTTAATGTTTTACAGAAAAAGGGTGATAGGTTTCCCGATCACTGGTTTGGGTTCCTTTTTAAGTGGGAGAAAAGATACAATAGACATTTCTAAGTCTAGGGATTTTCTGTGCACATAGGGTAAGCAGAGGCAGGGAGATTTACATTTTTGCTGGGCCTGAACCCTTCTGGGAGCCTGTAGGAGACCAGATTCTCAGTGAGACTGAGCAGTTGCAGAGCCTAGAACCAGCACAATCAAAACTATAGCCATGAGGATCCCTGACACTAAATCCCAGGATCTCAGGGACACGGTAGTCCCGGAAATGTAGTAATGGATCAGTTAGGCAGACCTGACCTCACCTAGAAGTGAATTCAGGACTCTAAAATTTTAGGTGCTTATTTGGAATCTGCTAGTCCTTTGGGTTTTTCCTAGAGTCTCTAGGTTTGAGTTCAGCCTACATAACACTCCGCCCTTAAAGATTTTGGAAGGAAATTTGATGGCCGGGAATAGCTATGGCTATTTTCATCCTGAGGGTTATGACTATATGAAGAGTGGAAACTGTTTGTCCTGGCGGTTTCTTCTAGGTAAACGAAAAGTTGAGTATTCTGCCATGAGCTTTTGGATAAAAATTTGCTTCTGAGGATGAGTGCAAAAGAGTTGACCAGAGACTGGTCTCCTTTCCATCTGTCTATTGTCTTGGTTGTCATGGTACTGGAGTCACCTTGTCCCCTGATCTCTTGGACTTGTGAAAGATGCTTGGCTTGTCACTGATTTTGGATTTCCTCTTCTGTCCCCTGTTGGATATCAGATAACATCTTTGGGACTGGCCCATGGTATTAAGAATGACAGCTGCAAGGGAACCAAGTCTGGCCATGTCTGTTACAGAGTACACTGGGCATGTTCATCTTCCGGGCCAGCACAGAACACAGGCGGTCACAGAGGACAGGGTGTTTTACAGCTCTTTGCTCAGTCTACTGATTAACTGCTAGTCTTGATCCCTGAGAAGAAGGAAAATGGGAAGGATTATTTAAGTTGCTACTTCTTTAAAGAAAAAAAAAAATCAATACTGAGAGGTTCTTGAATGGGAACAGAATAATTTCAGGGATTACTTTAAGAAATAGTCTTGTCTCTCTTGTGACTGGTCATATCTCATAATTACGGGACCGTCCCAGGCTGTGTCGGTCAGCAATGGTCTCTCTACATTCCTTGATGCAGCTTAGCCACAAGTTTTGTCCCAGTTGCCTGGGCATAGGGCGTCTAGGTCCCAGGCTTTGTCTGAGTTGCCATCTCATCTTCAGCAGCCAAAGCCTTTCTCTTTTCAGCCTAGTGGGAGTCAGTGTCCCAGGGGTGACTAGGTGCTGACTGGTTGTCTGGCAGAGCCTGAGTTTGGCCCTATAAATAGCTCTGATGACTGCCCTGTGCTTGTTGCTGTCCCTCCAACTTAGAGCTGGCAACGTCAGGCTCTTTCTCCCTAGTACACTCAGGAGCATTCCCCAACCTGGGCCTTGTACCCATTCATTTGTTCATTCATTCAGCAGACATATTTGCCAAGTCCTAATCTCATCACTGTGTACATAGCTCAGTAATTAAGAAGCACAGGCAGACCTGGGTTTGAATTTTGGCTTTTGGTACTTCTTGGTGATCCTGAGCAAAACAGTCTCACTGAACATAAGGATTCTTATCTGCAAATGAGGGTGAGGTGGGGAGAGTGGAATAGTAGTCAATTTTCACTTAAGAAGGCATGAGTTAATAGTATGTTCAAACAATTCAGCACAACTACTGTGTTGTTGTAGAACTTGATAAATGTCAGCTGATAGCAAAGTTGCCTTGTGGATCAGAGATGATTCTTGACTTTGGAATATTGGAGCTCAGTAAATAAATAATTATAGTAATTATACTACAGTGTCATGTGCTAAAGTGGAGGCTTGGTCCCTCTTCATTTCACTTTTTTTTCCCCTTTTCTCTTTGAAAGATCTTGCCTTTGCTCCCCGAGCTTTGCCCCCTTGAAAATCTAATGAAACCTAAGTATATTTCCTACCTGTTTACACTTCCGGAAAAAGAGGTCTCTTAAGCTATAATGTGAGTCTAGGGGAGCCTGTTCTGCGTTAGTTCTCTCAAGAGAGGTGCAGGCGATGGAATTTTTCTTTGAGAACTTCCCTGTTGAGTGGTCAGCAATGCAGCCTAGCAACCTCTCACCCTAAGATCGCTGTGACCCAGGGTGAGAGATGCTGCGAGAGGTCTCTTGTAGCTGGAACAGTTTAGAATTCCGAGCTCTCCCTCCCACTGGTCTAGGGAGAGTCAAGCCCCAGAGCTCATAAGGTGGTAATTGCCCCAATTTGGGGGCTGGGCTCTTGGGAGCCTGCTTCCCACATAACGACCGTCTTCAATCCAAAATTCTGTCAATGTGCAGTGATAATTGATACAGACCTCCAGCTCTGGACTCCTCCACCCCAAGTTTGATCCCCCATTGTCTTTGTTTCTTCTTTTTAAGTTGGTGTCAGTAATGCGATGTTTCTGGGAGCTGTGGAAAGTTGACTGTAACCCAGAGCAGCCATTTAAAAGAATGGATTCTCTACCTTCCAGACGGTCCTTTGAATATTTTCTGTTCTGCATTTTCGATTTAGCAAAAGCAAACACCCTAGGTGCCCTTGGGCACCTCTTACGCCCATTGGAGCAGGCTTCTTTCTTTCAGTGCACACAGGCATTCCCATTCCTGCTCACAGATGAGTGCTCCCTGACGCCCTGCTCCCCCATTATTCAGGTGACAATGAGGAGGGGAGGAGTGCTGCCTGAGACCCAGCTGGGGAAAGCCTGGCTGGGACTTGCTGCAAGCCCTGACTTGGCCTGTAGGAGCTCTCCCTCACCTCTGTGCAGAGCCCAGGATCGGAGCAGCAGCCAAGCCGGAAACAAAAGACTGGGAGCAAACCTCCCATCTGGCCGGGAGGCAGCGACACAAAGGTGCTGCTGCATAATTTATCACCGGAGGTTTGTACAGCCAGGAAGCTCCTGACTTCAGGCAGTGCCTTTTAGAGAGAGAGGGACCCTCCCCCTGTCTGGGTATAGGGCCAGGCAGGTACAGAGTAGGGTACTGGAAGAGACACCCGATTAGCACGTGAAATGAAGAGGCTGTGGGTATCTCCAGTGATCTCTCTCTGTCAAGTCTCTGGGC